CAGAGAAACTTAATAGAGAGAAGTAATTTAAAAAATAAAACAGATGTCCTTGAGCCATAAAGCACACTAAGTATAACTTAAAACATAATAAAAGGAATTGGTAGCAGAATAGATCAAACAAAAGAAAGGATGGGTAAACTTAAAGACAGGTTATTTAAAAATACACAGTTGGAGGAGAAAAATAATTAAGAAAAATGAGAGTTTTTAAGGAATTTAGAACAGCATTAAAAACAAAACTTAGGTTAAGGGCACTCAAGAAGGACTTGAGAATGTCAAAGAAGTAGAAAACATTGAAATAAATAATGACAGATTCTCAAACCTAGAGAAGTATAAAAACATACAGAAATAGGAAGGTCAAAGGTCACTATTCAGAGTAAACTCAACCAAGTCTACCCCAACATATTATAATCAAGCTTTCAAAGGTTTAAGATGCTTTGAGAATTCTCAAAATGCCAAGAATTAGAAAAAAAAAAGCTATAGGTGCATATTCAAATTTTCCTAATAGCAGACTTCTCAGAAGAAACCTTGTAGATCAGGAGGGAATGAAAGGGATAGTGTGCTGAAGGAAGAAAGTGGTCAACCAAGAATGCTGTACACAGCAAAGCTATACTTTGGAATGAAGGAGAGATAAAGACATCCCAGACAAACAAATTTTCAGATGATTTACTACTGTCAGAAATGTCCTACAGGTCTTCTGGGTTTCTTTGGGGCCAGAGGAATCCTGAAACCATGAATTACCCACATGTATTTTGCAACATGCTTTAGATATTTTTCCCTGGAAATCCTGCAACTACCCTAAAACTTGAATATACTGTATAAATGACCTATGGCCAATGGTAGCAGAGTCAACATAAAACTGTGCTTCATGGTTTTCTGGGAAAAACTTTTTGACTTTTGGCTATACTGTTCAATATGGCTGTATGGCCCATTGTGCTTTTGAATACATTGGTGGTGTTGTAATGTGTTCTGGACCCTCAATGAGCCTATAATTCAAAATTCAGATATTGTCTTTGTAGAAAATATTAGCCAATATTTTTATGGTATCTAAAGAGGTGAGATTGTAATTGCAAGAAGACTGAGTGATCCAAAAAATCAAATATTTGTAAAAGACTGATTGGTTTGGAAGGAGACAAAATCCTCACCACTAGTCCATCAGATGTCTTTAAAAACCATAGTTATGTGCCAATACATCATGTTTGGTTAGAAGGTGATAACCTACAAAGATCTACAGACTCCAGGTACTATGGACCTATTCCACATGGACTAATAAGAAGACGAATCTACACTCTCTAACAGACATTTATAGGACATTCTACCTATGAGTTGCAGAATACAAATTCTTCACAATAGCGTGTTGAATTTTTCCAGGGTAGATCATATGGTAGGTCCCAAAGGAATATTCTTCACCATAATAAAGGCCACATGTAATAATCCAATAGCTAACATCATATAGAATGGGTAGAAAAGCTGAAAGTCTTTTAAGATCTTTAACAAAACAGAAATACCTACTTTCACCATTTTTATTCAAGATAGCACAGGAAGTCCCAGCCAATCAGGCAAGAGAAAGAGATCAAAGTCATCTAGATACGAACAGAGAAAGGCAAATTGTAACTGTTTGCATATGACATGATCTTATTTAGAGAAAAACCTAAAGAGTCCACAAAAAGTATAAAAACTAATAAAAACAGTAAATTTGGAGGATACAAAATCAATATACAAAACTCAGTATCTTTACTATACACCAAGAGCAAATTATCTGAAAAAGAAATAAAAAAAGCATCATTCTTATTCACAAATGCAATAAAAATAAAATACCTAGGAAGAATTTTAATCAAAGAGGTAAATATCTCTACAATAGAAACTATAAAATATTGATGAAAGAGTTGAAGAGGACACAAAATGTGGAAATTCGTCTTGTGATCACACATTGGGAAAAAAATCAGCATTTTTCAAGTATATGTATTACTCAAACTGACCTACAGATTCAGAATCTCTGCCAAAATACCAGTGACATCCTTCAAAAAACTACAAACAAAATAATCTTAACATTCAAATAGAACTACCAAAAAATGTTCAATAGTTAAACCAATCTTTGTTCTTCTACAAAGCTCCCTAACATCAAAATATACTATAAAGCTTTAGTAACCAAAATATCATGTTATTGGCATAAAAACCAACATGTAAACAATGAAACAGAATAGAGAAAGAATTTTGAATGTTTTCAACATAAAGAAACAATCATTGCTTAAAGATATAGCTGTGTTTTCTCTAATTGGAAAAATTCACTATGTTTACATATGTCAAACATTACATGTAATTTGATAAAGGTACATAAATATTATGATTTATATGTATCAGTTAAAAATAATAAATAAAACATGTAAATCTTTAAAAACAAACTCTCTGGAAGTTCATTCTAAATGGGAGAGTCTAGCACTTGTGCCTATCATAGTGAATAGAAACTTCAAAAGTGAGTTTCTAGCATTTTCTTCTTCTATAATAAATGTAAGCCAGTCTACTAAGGCCACTTAGGCCACTAATTGCCAAATACAGTTAATGCATCAGATGTTGGACAATCAAAAGAAAATTGACAATTATCAATTAGAATATGTCATTTTCTTTTAGATTGGTGTGTTTTTATATAGCTCTATCAATATAGTTAATCCCTAATTACAATTCTAATTTGCAATTATATCCATAAAGTAAATTCATGCCCATAACACTTCATGGCAATCAATGAGCATATACATTTCTAAGCTTGACGATAATTACCAGTTAAATCTCTAAAATGTTGTCCCAATGCAAACTCCCTAGTAGTAGTGTGTATAAGTACCTCATTCAGCACAACCTGGTCAACAGTGGGTCAAATAGATTCATTTTTTACAACCTGGCAGATGAAAAGTAGTAACTTATAGCTCCAAATTCAACTTTTTGAATTACAGAGTGAGGTTGAGTATCTTTTTACATATGTTCATTTCTTTTCCAGTAAAGAATTTGCTATATTTTAATGTGAGATAGCATTGTTTAATATAATTTGCTAGTTGATAAAAGTTAATTTTTATCTGACAACTCACTCTATTATTAGAAAATTAAAGATATGCTCCCTTGAAGTTCCACAAATGGCTGCTAGCTGGTGAGGATGTTTCTACCAAATAAATATTTTAAGCAATGTCCCCAAGAATACACTGACTTAAAGTCACAGACTACTTGTCTATGTTAAAGGCTAGGTTACTAGAAAATAGTTGAGGAAAGAAAGAACATGTTTTTTTTTTCTGTTGATGAGTCTAAAATTTAGTTCTACAATAATTGTAGTACTGCCCCAAAAGAAAGGTCTTTTTTAATAAAACCCCTCTTAGCAACCATCAAAATTTTCCTTACTTCCAAACTTCTCCTGAAGTGAGAAAATCCAAATCCCTGGATTTCAACAGCAATATCTACAATTTAGCATTTCTCTTCAAATTATTTGATGTAAGCAAAACCATGTGAAATTGGTAAGTAGAAAGCCAATTCAGCTTGTTTATGGTATAAATGTGTTTGCATCTGGACTGAATGAGTAAAGATCATATATCAGTGTGCTCCATGTCTGTCCCTCCAAGATAGCAGGATAAGCATCATTTGGCAACCAGAGTATACACAAAAACCTATATAATCAGAAACTCATGAATAGTTTGTGGGTCCCAGCAATCTATTTTAAGAGCTGTCTAGGTAACTATAACATAGGCTACCATTTGAAAAAATGGATACTGTAAGGTGAATCTATGATAGTTCTCTTTCTAATCTTCATCTAGAAGTCTCTGCCAACATTTTTTATCTCAGAGACATTATAGGAGGATTCACTGACCCTAAAAGTAGTTACAAGTAATCATAGATCCATTGGATAACCTTGTCCTACCCATTAGGCATGGAAAACTGCTAAAGCAAATATCTGGAGCAAATTTGCATCCAACCAAGCTCTTTAAAATTTTGTTGTGACTCTATCTCTGACATAACTATGTAAAAGATGAGTGTCCAAGGCATGCATATTTAATATCCATATAAACAACTATGTCCATCAATAAAACTACTACCTACAGAATGCAGTAGTCTGAAAGGAGTGAAAATTTTGCCCCCATTTTTGGCTATTGTGCTATATCTATATTTTTGGACTGTCCCTTATCACAGTGTGATATACATTTGCATACCACATAATGCTTCCTATGCTGTGTTCTACAATCTGAAGGAAATACCAGTTACTTTTCCATAAATGATAAGAGGTAAACTTAGGTCCAGGTGGCAAAACTCTTGAGTCAGCTATAATTAACAGCTGTGTCCTACAACTTAATAGGCCCTGCTCTAAACACTAAGGTTTATTTTTAAATATTATGAATTTTTTTTAAATTATGAAACATAATTTTTATTGTGAGAAGAGCACACTGTAGTAAAGCAGTGGTGATTGTGGAAAGTATTCCAAAACTAGGGTCCATCTACTAGGTCTCCTATCCAACCTTGTTTCTCATTGATCTGTGAGTACAAGTTTATTTGGTAAAGTAAATCTAGAAGCAGCAGAAGAGGGAAACTCCTCTGGACCCATGCAGGTTAGTATAAGTAGAGACTACTAGGGACTACTAGGGTCTCATTTTGGATAGGTGAGAAAAACAGATCATCAAGAAAAATGAAGAAAATTAAAAGTGCTAGTAATATACTAAATAGAAAAAAGTTCTGGTCTTTATATCTATATATGTGTGTGTGTGTGTGTAAATATTTCATTATTAAAAATAACATATAGTATAAAATGATATTTATAGATTGATTTTTACATTGCTTTACTAACTTTACAATATGTAATGTCTTTCCCTGAAAGTTGGTGAAACTCCCCTGCTGACAGAAAAACTTATAGACTAGTTTAAAATGAAATCTCTAGTCAGAAAACAGCAGAACACCAAAAGGTTCACAGTAAAGGGCACACCAAAAAAATGAAAGTTTTTGAGAAGCAGAGATGTTATGATTACTAACCTCAATATTCAAGGCATGAGGAAAAACTCATCATGTTGTTCATGGTGAGAGGGAATCTGCTATACAAATGTGCAGACTGTACCTCAACTGGAACTCCCTAATTTTTCTCAGCTCTTATCTCCTATATGAATCTTTGTGTGTCATGCACTTCTCCATCTATCATATCAATGTTGTTAATAAGCTTGTTGGGCACATTGTTTCCAAAATCCTGAGCAGGTGGAGCCCAATGCCCTCTAATAGTTCCTCCTGGATGCCAGCCTTTACCACCTTCTAAAGTGCAGGCTTCTGCCTCATTCTTCACTGGGGCCCATTTCTCAAATTTGTTTCCCTGAAAGACATTTTCTATGTTGATTTTTTTCCCTGTTTATTGTTTCTAGGAGATAAAAATAAACCAGAGGAATTGAATGTTTTATTACAGAATTCAGAGATCCTTCTGACAAAGGTTTTCTTACCTGAGAGAATTCATGCACCCTCTAGGGATCATCTCAGATCCAGGCCTGCTTCAAAGCCCAGGTTTTGCCCTAAAAATTCTTCCCTTCCTCTTCTTTTTTCTTTTTTTATTATATTCATATGTGCATACAATGTTTGGGTCACTTCTCCCTTCCCCTGCCCCCTCCCTTACCTCCCCATTACCCCCCCCTTACCCCTCGCTACCAGGCAGAAACTATTTTGCCCTTATCTCTAGTTTTGTTGAAGAGAGAGTATAAGCAATAATAGGAAGGACCAAGGGTTTTGCTAGTTGAGATAAGGATAGCTATACAAGGAATTGACTCACATTGCTTTCCTGTAAATGTTTGTTACCTTCTAAGTTAATTCTTCTTGAACTAACCTTTCAAAAGGATGGGAGATAGATGTGGCAGGCAGTTGAGAAACAAGACCTCTACTCCCAGGGATCCCAATATGCCCTCCAGGGGATACAGACTTTGCTACTCTACTCCCTTCTTCTTTCACCAGCCACAGTCCCACTGTTTTGTTCAGACTCTGCTAGATTTCTCCTGCACTTAACTCAGAGAGGGAGGGCTATAAGTCTCCCAGATTCTGTTCTGATCCTTGATACCCTTATGCCAGAGTGTCTCAGGCAACCCCTTCCCTAAGGGATGAGGTACTTGTTCTTTCTTAACCATGAAATCTGCTGTGCCAATGGACCTAAAGACCTATAAATATAAATGTGACAAAGGCCATGTCAGATCACTTCATCAAAGAACTGATATTGGGGACACCAGCTTTCCTAATCAATCAAATGTTACCATCTTCTGTTTCTTCTCCATCCTGCCTCACAGCTTCCTTTCCCACCCTGTGACAGGACATCCTACCTTCCAAAAGTAGGCTTTGTAATCAATGGCAATTATTTTTAAATAATTTAACCTCTTCTTTAAGCCTGCTGTAATAGGTGCTCAAAAGTTGCTTTTGTTGTGAAACACTGACTCCTGTACTTGGGCACAGGAATTAACTGAAGGCAGGATAAAAGCTAGGCATCCCAACCACCATTATGAATCTGTATCCTTGCTCTGAGCCACTCTTACCTGTAGTCATTTTGCAGCCATTTTGGGACCCAGGAAGGGCTGGACCACTTCCTCACTAGGAAGTGAGGCCCTCACTCGTCAAGGGCCTCACTAGACAAATTCTGAGAAAATGAGCTGCCAAAACACTGGTGACTGCCATCTGCAACCCACGGCCACTGGAATACACCTGTGACTGGGACTATTTAATTATGCATAGCTTTCACCTCCACCCCCAATTTTTCCTCCTATTAAAATTAAAGCAAAGGTCTGTTCAGGGAAGATGACAGAAGATGGATTGAAATGCTACGTTTTCTCTTCCCGTGGCTGCCTATGCAATGTAATAAATTTCTTTTCTTTGTTCTTCACTATTATTTGCCTTTTGTATTTGACATACTGGAGCAAGTGACCAGAGCTGACCAACGAAACCTAGGAGTTGGACATGGGACCTAAAACATCCTGTCACAGAACTGGTGATCAAAAAGGGACAAAATGTACCTACAAGCCCCATCCTGGCTTTTGGCAGCAGATGTTAGACTGTAGCATATGGAGAGATAAATGAGGAGACAGCTCAACATCAGCACAGGTTTTATTTGGGAGAATACCTATGAAGGGGATCCCCAGCAAATTGGGTATAGATATAGGAGGCTAGTGGAAGAATATCAGGAAGCTGGCAGGGTGGGCAAAATTTTTGTGGTTGGCTGGTTGTTAAGAAGGTAAGTTGGGCTTAGGTCAGTTAGTTGCTCAAACATCTCTTGTCCCTGGTGACAATGGCATAAGGTGGGTATTTGTCATTCCTTGGAGTAAGTGGTGGGGTGTTTCCAGTAAGACAACTGCAAGGAGGAAGGAGTCTGGTCCTAACATGGCTGCCCTTACAGTCCACCTTAACATTCTTACATTCCTAATATATATATAATATATATATTATATATATGTGTGTGTATAAGGCAGGGTATAATAGTCCATTAGCCAATTCCTCTGGAGTGGGGTGTTGAGGTCCTTTAAGGGGAGAGGGTGTTGGCAGGGTCTTCTTGTTTTAGATGACTGTAGTGGGCCCACTGAAGGAACAGGATTAAGTCAATCTGCTTTTGGGTAGTGTCCTGGACAAAAGCCTGAAATCTCTGGGAAACAAAGTGAGAAAGTGTTTGAAAAAGACAAGGTCTGACAGTCAACAGAATGAGGATAAAAATAAAAGGTCCCAGTAGAGGGACTACCCATGGAATCTACTTAGCCCAAGAAGACCACTGTTCCCAGCTGTCTGTTGTTTGTTGTCAGAGATCAGCAGCATGTTCCTGAAGTCTCTTAATGGCATCACAAATGACCCATGTCATAAAAGTGCATTCTTCTTGTAAGAAGAGGCATGTTCCTCCTTTTTGGCAGTTAGGATATCAATTTCTCAACAGTTTTGGACAGTACCACTCCTGCCAAGGAATCAAATTGGGTTTGGAGATTGGAGAGTGACTGACTTAGATCATCTAGGGTTTCCGTGAAACTTTTTGAGTTGTTGGATGTATAGTAACAAAGTAGTTATTCTTGCTATCTGATATGTCCCCAGAGAGGCCAAGATTCTTGGGCCAAGAAGAAGTGGAATGATTTCTATGGCTCTTTGTATTTAAACACTTCAGGACAGGGAGGTTGGAAGAGGGATCTGAACCAATTGATTATTTGGTAGTATGCCTACATCAGGAATTTGGAGAGTACAGGTGCCAGACCAGTTAGTGGGTAAACAAAGATATGATGAAGTTCTGCACAGGAAAAAGAGGCCTGGTGTCAACAGACAGAAGTCATAACTGAAAGTAGTCAGCCAAGAGAACATCACTGTTGCCTTGTCCCAGCCCCACACCCTGAAGGGATGGTCTTTTTCTGATTTCAGACTGAGAAGGAGCTGGACAGCACAGCCCCTGTTAGAGGTTGGAATTGAACCACTAGGTCAACTCCTAACCTTGAGATAGGGGAGAATTGGGTGAGTTTAATAAGTGTTTCTAAGAAGCGGGAGCTATTGAAGAGAGTGTGGATGATGCAGGTAGGGGTGTCAGAGCCTTGCATTCAAGGTTGGGCTTTGCTTTAGAAGCAGCCTAAGTGCCTCTGGCAACTGGTGAGGGAAGTAGTACTAGATATTTTGGAGGGAAGCCTGAAAGGCACAGGGGATTAACCCAGCTAGCTGCTGATATGGGTATGCAGAGACTCTTGATGGTCTAAAGAGAAACAGAGGGTAAGAGTCTAGTTGCAGAGCCTGCTGGGGACTTTGCTGAGAGTGTGGGTGAAGCTGGGGTTGGAAAAATCAATCTTGGCTGAGACATAAAAGTGCCTCTAGCATCAACATCTTCTGAGAGGAGATGCAGCTGCTAATCCTAGCATGGGGTGGAGGCAAGGAGTGGTTGGATTGGTTGACCATTTTTGGAGATTGGTACGTTCTTGGTGTCTGGAGTGGAAAAGAATAATCGCACAGTGGTTAATGTTACCAGAGATACTGTAAGAGAAGCAATGACAGAGGTGACTACATTTTTGATAAAGAAGACACTTTAGAAGCAGATATCAAAAAGGCCATGAGAAACAACAGGTTTCACACAGAAATATCAAACCTCTAACCAAAATAACAAAATGAAGTTTCACAATGTGGATAATAGGCCCTAAGGTCAGGACAAGTTGAGCACACTTTCAAGGCCAGACCGAGCTGACCAGACCTTCGTGGAATGCTCTGTTCAGTAAGGAGAGGGACAGACAGGTGGTCGAGTTCAGCAAGAAGCTGACTTGGAGCCAACCAATCAAAATATAGTTTCAAGATAGAATAGTTGGACCTAAGCCAGTTTGTGTCCTGTATCTTTCTTGACTTCAGCTATAGTACAGTTTAGCTCTTCCTAAGTCCCTCACATTCATGCAGGAGATTTGTTATCCTTTCAATAAACTTTGCACTTGCTTTACTCTTAACTCCTGTTTCAGTGTCTTCAATCATTGACTTTGCCAGGACACAAACACAGAATCAACAATCCAGTATCATACTGGGAGCTTGCTTGGGAAGTTTCAAGAAAGAGTAAGTTGTCCAGTACCTGGATTCTATCACTCTCTTGCATCTGACCTTTCTGTTCCAGCCCCTCTGGGCTTAGACTCTATCAAATACTGGATACCTGTCAGTCAGTTACACGAGAATAGTGCAGCTGCCAGACTAAAGATTCTGGATGTGAGGCTTGCTGGAGTGGGTCAGTTCAACCCCCATAGCTACAGCAGAAGGAATGTTGGTCTCATCCAGCTTCAGTTTCCTCTGTGATCTGACTTAATAAGGAGGAGATCTGAGAAAGGGTAAAAATGGAAATTCCCCCTCAGCAACTAAAGGACTCTGGCCAGGGTGACTCTCTCATGGAACCTGAAGATTGAGGATGTGACTTCCTGGCTTGTCTAACAGCTCTAAAGGCAACCAAGTATCAGAACCCCTTGAGCTATCCCCAAGCCTCGCAGACAAACAAATCTCTCTTTCATTTTTTTTCATGGGTTGAGAACTCGCTTTCTCTTTCTATCTCTCTCTTTCCTCCCCCTTCCAATCCTCCTCCTTCTCGCTTATCTGCCAGCATGTCATTGCAAACGGAAGGCACCCACCTCTTCTTTTTAGGCTTTTGAAACATTCCTCATCCTCTTGTCCCTGGTGCAGAGAGATAGAGACTCTCTGGCCTTGAAAACAAAGAAAAAAATGACCCACCCATTTCCTATAGTTTAAGTTCCATACTCCAGGAGAAAGAATATTTCTGCCCTGACCTGAAGCTTGAATTTTCAGGCAGACGTGGTTGTCTTGGTACCCTCAAGTATGTGACTGACAGTCCTTACTAGAAATAAGTGGGACAAGTGTTTCTCTCCCTTTAGGTTGAAATTCTGGCCTTCTGGTTAGGAGAGATCCTTAAAAAGGCTCAATGGGAAATGCAAAGGTACATAGTGACCTGATGGGCAAGGAGCTTGCAGCTAAAACCAAAGACAGGAAAGGAACTCACACAGGGGACAGGCATATCAGGGCCACACCAGCACAGGCAGATAAATTCTGGACAGGCTATGTTCCCCATTTATTCTGCAAAAATAGGGCAGCATGGCAGAGGACAGAATATGTTCTGTCCTTCCCACTATGAGAAAGCAAGGTCCTAAGGACACTTAGATAAGCCCTTTTTCTCTGCAAGATGGAAAAGGCCTCAACTTCCACAACATACATCCCCCTGGTTGTATTCTTAACAACTGGAAAATCTTTGATCCACAACCCCTCAAGAAAAAGGCTCTGATTTTCTCCTGGCCCCAATATCAGTTGGGAAATAAAGAGGCTTGGCCATCAGGACATATCAATTATAATACCATCTTACAATTAGACCTGTTTTGCAGGGGGGAAGATAAATGGTGTGATGTCCCCTATGTTCAGATATTCTTTGCCCTGAGGAAAATTTCTGGGTTCTGTAAGAAATGTCATGTAAATGCAGCATTGTTAGCTACCTTGTAGGCTTTAGTTCCTGGAGAAAACTTGAGGAAAAAATGGAAAATAAGGGAAATGGCAATTATAGGGTTAATATAAAGATTTTTTTTTTTTTGATTCTTGGCATATTCTTCCATTTATGTGCAGTTTTTTCTTGCTTGTGCTGAAAGTGTTGTTATTCAAGGTCATTTTAAAGTTTTGTTATCATACTTAGCCTTAATTGGGATATAATATTCTGTAAGTCTTAGTAAAATATTCAAGCAACAGTTCAACAAAAGCAGAGCATCTCATTATCTTGTTACCTCCCCCACCCAAGTAGGATTATACCTAATCTATGGTTAAATTGTTTAATAGTACCCTAAGTTAATATAATTATACAAATGTATGTATTGGCCTATCAAGGATTGGGCAAAAACTTCTTTTGACCCTGGAATTTCAGAAAACAAGTGATTAATTACTAAGGCCAATTGTCAGGGTTTTTTGTTGTTGTTTTTATATGTGCTTCATCCTTGGCCTGGCTAAAACTTTTTATGTTTGTGTAAAATGGTTCTTAAGTTACTATTACAAAGCTAACAAGTAAAAAGCTGTTGTCA